TACTTAGGTTATACGCACCGCAGCGATAAATATTACAAAAAGTTTAGAAGACAAAATATTTTTTTAAGTATGGTCGAAAGAGATTCTTACCTGTATTTTTTTTACTTCTTGTGTTAATCCCTCTTTTAGATTAATATGATCTCAGTTACACATAAATAAAGCATAACCACAGATAAAATTGCACATAAAACGTACACATCGCAAAATAATCGCAATGTAACACTGTTGCCTGTATCACAAGGTAGCCTCCTCTCCCCTATTACTTCCATGGTAACATGTGTGAACACTGGTTACTTGCTTCTAATAATTAACTGTTATCGATTTTTTTATTGTGATTATTAATTTATTAATTGTTTTAAAAGAATTAAATAAATATTAAATTTTAAATCAATAAAAAAATTAGAAACTGAAAAAAAATGTTTTAAAATAAAAAAAATACTTTTAAAGCAGACAGTTGATTTCTATGTAAACCAATATTAAAGTCTGATATCGAAATGCACCATTTTCGCAACTTTTCCACCATTTCGGATAAATGATAATTATGTTCGTATTTCTTAGGATTTAAAAAAGAATTTTTATAGATTAGATTTTATAGATTTTATAGATTATCCATTGCGATGCAAAATTTGATCTTGTTTATCAGTTCTTTTTCATAATTAACAAAGTTTACTCTTGGCGAATTGTTTAAACACAATTATTACTCAAACGGTACAATTGTAAACAAAAGTAAAATTACTACAAACAACTACAAACGATTCTGAAGCACATAGAAAAAAACAGATTTGGGAAATATTGATAATTAACAAAGTTTACTCTAGGCGAATTGTTTAAACACAATTATTATTCAAACGGTACAATTTTAAACAAAAGTAAAATCACTACAAACAACTACAAACGATTCTGAATCATATAAAAAAAAACCAAATTAAGAAATATTGATAATTAACAAAGTTTACTCTAGGCGAATTGTTTAAACACAATTATTATTCAAACGGTACAATTATAAACAAAAGCAAAATTACTACAAACAACTACAAACGATTCTGAAGCACATAGAAAAAAACAGATTTGGGAAATTTTAATAATTAACAAAGTGAACTCTTGGCGAATTGTTTAAACAATCGTAACTTTTAAACGATACAACTACAAACGAAAGTAAAATCACTACAAATAACTACAAACGATTCTGAATCATATAGAACAAACGAAATTAAGAAATCTTGATAATTAACAAAGTTAACAGTTGGCAAACTGTTCACACGCAACTATTACGCAAACGGTACAACTACAAACAAAAGTAAATTCACTACAATTAACTACAAACGAAATACTATTATTTTCTGTATTGAAAAATCATTTTTTTTAAAGTGGGGTTCCAGGTTCACATAACTTGTTGCTCCGGCTGTGGGCCCCAGCGTGACCCGCCCGCCGGCCGCTCGTCCTCGGAAGCTTCCGGCTGTCCACCCGCAAGTTCCCCGGTGCGGCATACGCCGTTACATATCCCGTGTTTCCGGCCCTCTGCTCCGCACTCGCCACCTGTAAGTTCGCTAAAAGGTTTTATTCCTAACCTAAGACGCTCGCTCTCCGCCCGCCCCGGGCGGAAGCACCATCCCTGACGTCTCCCTCGGCCGAGCTCCCGTCTGAGGATGAAGTCCTATGGAGCCAGCGTACGGCGTACCGGCGTACGGCGTAAAGAAACTTGGCTAATCACATACGCCCGTTTCGTTACGCCAGCACAAGCATTGAATGTCCCATGGAGCGTATTTACGCGGCGTAATGATTAATAAGCCAATCACAGTATTGTTTTACAAAGCTTATTTTCAAAATGGATCCTCAAGGAATCTTGTGATTGGCTTATTGATCATTACATCGGCGTAAATACGCCCCATGGGACACCCGATGAAATTTTCAACGTGATGTTTTAACACAGACATTCATATACATGATATCAAAACAAATGTGCATAACCTTGTCAAAATGTTGGACTCGGAGCTTGCATTTATAAATTTAATAAAATATTTGAAAATATACAAGTGCTCGGAAAGTACTCTGTGCAAGGAAGCTGTTCGCAGAAAAATAGTTCAAATATATACAATTTATGAATTAATGAGAGCCGAAGAGAAGAAAAAAAGACAAATAAGACGCAATGTTCGAAGATTTTGGGTTAGACCAATTTTTAATGCTGAAAGACGATTCGCACAAGGGGCTAGCAACAATCTGGTGCAAGAAATGGTTTTCGAAGACAGAGAAAAATTTTTCAATTTTTTTCGACTGACACCAGAAATGTGCGAAAAATTGTTGCAGATTGTTTCACCACATATAGAGAAACAATTTGTTATTCGGGAGCTTATTTCTGCTCGCACTCGCCTTCAAATCTGCTTGCGATATTTAACTTCAGGGGATAGCATGGTATCCGTATCATACGCATTTCGTGTAGGACACAATACAGTGTCAAAAATAGTGTCAGAGACATGCGAAGTAATATGGGATACACTAAAAGATATGGTATTTGTAAAACCAACAGAAGACAAATGGAATTTTCCCAATTGCATTGGCGCAATTGATGAAAAACACATAGTATTGCAGGTAAATATTTCTAATGCTTTGACAATTTTCTTTTATGAGAAGTTAGACAAAATTATAACTATATATATATATATA